ATAAAAAACCGATTTTTTGAAATCAAAAACAGACCCAAACCATAATTTAGTAACCCAAAATAAAATCGATCCAAATAATGTTAAATCTTAGAAGAAATGAACCCGTTAACGAATTGAATCAGTTATAAACCGAACTAAAATAAAACTAAACCAAAAAAGAACCGAACTGTTTCTAACCCGAAACCGTCTGAACCGGGATAAAACCCTTTACACTGAACTGTTAACAAACCGCAACTCGTCTGCACCGAACCGTTTACTACCCGAACCGAATTTAAACCGGGATAAAAACCGTTTACACCAAACCGTAAACAAACCGCAACCCGTCTGCACCGAACCGTTTACTACCCGGACCGTTTACAACCCGAACCGAATTAAAACCGTTAAAAGAATAAACCGAAATCGAATCGAACCCGTAATGATTTAAACCGAAGTGAAACCGACCCGTAAGACATTTGAACCGATTTCAAAGCGACCTGATTTCAAACCAAACCGATTTTAAACCGTACCAAAACCGAACTGTCAAATCATTTTGACAGTACTAAGTATAGTAGATGGGAAAATATTTAGAAAAGATACAACTAGACACGTCCTCTAATCTTAGGACGACCTAAGTCATCAAACTAATAAAGTAACAAGTACGTGGAAAATGAAATTTCATTTACGGACCGATATTGCATAATTTTTGTAAATTGTGGTCCTTTTGTTTGGTTTTGCATTGATTGAAGTCATCCACTTGTCCCATTTACTCTGACAAGTTCTTTTATTTTTAATTTTCCATACAAGTATATAATTGGTGCTTAGTCTATTTACAATTGAACTGAATTTTTAATAATACAGTTAGGTCCTGTTCACTTCACCAAAAAAAAAAATTATTCAGTAAAAATAATTTGAGTTAGTAAAATTAAGTTTAATTTAGTACTCAATAAATAAAAAAAAAATTTGTTCAATAAAAATAATTTCAGTTCAGCAAAAATAATGTGAAGTAAACAAGGCCTTACAATTGAAAAAATATTTTAACAATACAACATTAAATTCTACACAATCAGTTTCACAAGAGCATCAACCAAAGTACAAAACACTCCGACTGATTAAAATTGGTGTGGATTAAACCACGTTTTAAAGAGCTTGTAAAATTAGAATACTGGCAATTAAAAATAACCTAATTTAATAAAGTTTTGTGAACCCTTTAAATGCATCGATGGTATTTGGGTATTAATCCGAGATTAATAATCAATCTCCTCCATATAACTTTTGTTCAACTTATATGATGTATTATACAATATGAAATTAATGAGCCACGTGTGCATCGCTTTCCATCAAATTACTCTTCCCTTAATCACAACCGGTTGTATAATAAAAAAATTGTACTTTTCAATTATTTCGTACTTCCATAGGGTTTCTCCATGTGATTTTCTCTAAACTAATTTATTTTGCACGAAACAATATAATTGATAATGCTCTAAATTCTCTAACGTGTTTTCTTTAACCAAGAAAGAATTTCTTGAGAATAAAGAAGAATTTTATGACAAAAGACATGGAGATCAGACTATTAATCTTTCACCGATTAGTTTGTATGTAGCTATTCTTGTATACACAAACTAGATCTTTCACTATTAATATTTCAAATAGATTTTTACAAATTCTGTTGGAAATTTAGGGTAGTACTATTAGATGGTTAAATAATACCATTTGTAAAATACGGGTCTGGGCTACACCTGCAAACCAAGAAAAGAGTCCACTTTACAAGTTCAAAGGAGATTTCATCCCAAAACCATATGGCAATAAGAAGAGTAGCCCCTTAGCCATATAAAGTGTTTGACTCTCTGATCTCATCTTTTCTCCATGTGGGACACTTACATGTGTTATTTGATAGGATATATTTCAACACCATTAGACATATTTTATTCAACTAGATAATAAATAGGTGCAAATCATTACCCACTAGGAAATGTAATTGTTACCCAAACCTTCTAACAAAACACTTGGTGACAATAATAATGGTTTAATTGAATCCATTCTAAACCCAAAAAACACTCTTATCAAACATGCTCTTAATTAATAAATCATGCGAAGAAAAAACAGAGAGAGATTTTATGAGATTTCATTAGTAGTCTTGATATTTGTACAACTATACTCCCTTTATCTAAAAATAGTTTGAGAACTAACTATGAAGTATAATATATAATATAAGAACATATTTTTTGTTAAAATTGAACTCAATATATATATAAATTTTTAAATAAGAACATCTTATAATCATAACTTTTATAAGATGGTCTCATTTAAAAAATAAAAAATAAAAAAATAAATAAAAAATAATTATGTTTTGATTATGCATTCAAAGCTGCTCCTGTATCAAACTTTAATGGCTTAGGCTTCTCAATTTAATTCAGTATTTTGTGTTAAAAAAAAATAATTAAAAAGAGTTCATTTTAGCGTAAAAGCTTCCAATAAGTTGGACCTACAATGATTATTGAAAGATTAAGAGGGATTTGTTTGTTTCAACTTATTTTATCTTATTAAATTAATCATGTGCAATGCATGATTTAAATAGCTTCAAAATAATTGGTAATAAAGGATTTTTTGTGAGAAACTATCTAATAAAATCTAAATTTTGTGAGAAATTACCTAATAAAAAAGATGTTTTAAGAAACCACCTAATATAAAGTAAAATGTTGTAAGATACTACCTTTGACCGAATTTTCACCGTTGACTTAATTTCACGACGTTGATCCACCTTAAAACACCCCCCGAAACCACCGTGCGCGAGGGTTGGTTTTCAAGGTGATAAGGTTATTTTCGGGTGATTGGAGGATATTTAGAGTTGGTGAAGGTAGATTAGTGCTTCGCGATGGTGATTGTTTTTGGGGTTAGAGGTGGTGGTTTTGGGGTTTAAAGGTGGTTTAGGCGTGGTTGAGGCGATTTCAAGCAAATTTTATGTTAGTTTTGGGAATAAAAGCGGTGATTTTGAGAGTGTTTTGAGGTCGGTCAACGGTGGAAATCCGGTATAGGTAGTATTTTACAACATTTTACCTTTTCTTAGGTACTTTTTTACAACATTTTACTTTTATTAGATACTTTATTATAACATTTTTTTTAATAGGTAGTTTCTCACTAAATCTGAGTTTTATTAGGTAGTTTTTGACAAAAAGTCCTTTCTTAAAAAAAATAAAAATTGTAGCCAACATTATTGGTGTGTGTATAATTTGTCTGCATTATTGTTGTGTGTATATTTTAATTGCACAACCTGTATTCGTACACTATTTTTGTGGAGCTCATACACACAACATGATTACAAAATACAAATAGAGGTGTAAGAAATCAACCGAATTAGAGAAAATAATCCGTTTTCAACTGTATCCGACAAGATTTGGAATGAGAAATTCATAATTCCAAACCCAATCTAACTGATCTATAAACTTCAAACAATGTTGTTGTTTTTTTAACCGAGAGAGTATCCCAATTGAGTTTTCATCTACATTCAAAAAATATACTACTACTGTTTCATATTTTTTGCAACTTTGGAATATTTTATACCTCACAAATAATACCCCAAAATTGCAAAAAATATGAAACGGAGGAGTATATATTATCATTAGAATTAGAGGTGATCAACTACGACCCGACCCGATTCACATTAGTAGGTAAAAACCCAAACTCAACTCAGTACAGAAAAAGCCCAAAAGGCCCGCTTTGGCCCGATGAGCCCATTAAACGTCGGAGGCTTGCCCTAGATTATCTCCTACATACAACAATTTTTGTGGGTTTGGACATGAGATATGATGTTAAGGCCCGACGCGGCCTTTATTTTTTATCACCTCTAATTAGAATAATGTTGAAGTGTAATCTTTCAAAACAATAAATGTAAGTGTCCCTCATTGATAAAAGAAAAGAGAATTAAACACTTTTTAAGACTATAGGGGCTACATCTCCTATCGTAATATGATTTTTTATTTATTTATTTATTTATTTATTATTATTTTTTTAAAAGATAAAACCAACTCTAACCTGTAAAGTGAACTCTTTCTAGATGACATATGCAACGCTAATACGTATCTATCATGATATCAGTGTCAGACCCACAATGAGGCAAGAATGACTTAAGTACACTAGGCCAATTGATTCATGTGAGAAGAAGTGTGAAATGCGCTTTAACCCCATGAAAAATCTTAAGTGATGAAAATAAAGGACCTTGCATGTGAGAGGAGTGTTCGTTGAAGTATAACCTTAAAAGAAAATATATAGAGTTAAACGCTTTATAAGGCTAAGCGGCTATGTACCCCTCCTATTGCCATATATTTTTGGAATGAAACCTCCTTTGTCGTTCGACCCAGACTCGTATGTAAGTTAATAAAAAAAAATGTAATTCTATCAAATTTATAACGTGTCATGGTAGATGTATCAATTCGGGTAACTGGGTCGAGTTCGGTGAGTTCAGGTCGAGTTTATTGCAAAGTTGAATCATGCTAAACAACTTTGTCTATATGAGTTGAAATCTAAATTGATTTTTTTCGGGTCATATTGAATTGGTCGGGTTAGTTTTTATCACCTCTACTTTATACAAATCAATTTTTAAAAGGTAGACGCGCTACTCCCTCTGTTTGGGTGTGCGCAGAATTTTAGGCAAAAGAAAAAAAAAAACATATAAGTAGGGAATGGTTAGGATTAAAAATTTTTGAAAAGTAAGAGGGAGAAATATAAATGGAGAATCACTAAATATATTTTGAGATAGATAAATTATATAAAATGATGATGGGGTCAAAAGGAAGAGAGGGAAATAATATATAATATAATTGAAATTTCTAAATTCCGAAATAAGGCACAAAAAAACAAAAACGGCTTTTAAAAAATGAGGCACTTTAAAAATTAAAAAAAAAAAAAAAAAAAAAAAAACCTACAAACTTTTCTATTTAAAGAACTCTTTCACATAAAGATGAACCATAAGCCCATTTAAACTCTCCAACCAAATCTTGCAAAGAACTATAATTTCTAAGCAAACAATGACATACTTGGTTAACATTACTTTTCTCATTTCCGTAATTATTTTTTGCTACTTTTTCCGCAACAAAAATGGTCTCCCAACTAATTGGCCTCTTGTTGGGATGCTTCCTGCACTCTTCCAAAATTTTCACAGAATCAATGAATTTTTCAATGAAATTATGGAGAAATCATCTGAGCTAACGTTTCTATTTAAGGGCCCTTGGTTCAGCAACATGAACATTATAATTACCGTTGATCCTTCCAACTTTCACATGTGCTTAGCAAGAGCGAGCTTCGTAAATTATGTCAAAGGCCCTAAATTTAACGAAATTTTCGAATTTCTTGGAGATGGGATCTTTAACTCGGATTTTAGTTTGTGGCAGTACCATCGAAGATTGGCTCATTCTTTCTTCGGCCATCCCAAATTCAATTCAATTTTTATGATGAAAATTTGGGAAGAGATGAAGAGTAGACTCATCCCATTGCTCGATAATGTCTCTAAGCATGGTGTTGAAATCAACTTGCATAATATATTTAAAAGGTTTTCTTATGATAATGTATGTAACATTATCTTGGACTATGACCCTAAATTTCTCTCACTCGATTTGGCACCTATTCCACTCTTCCAAGCCGTGATTGATGTAGAAGAGGTGATTTTTCGGCGTCATGCTATGCCAACATCTATGTGGAAATTTCTAAGATGGTTGGGTGTAGGAGAAGAGAAATACCAAAAAGATTGCCAGATGCTTTACGATTTCACTAACAAGGTCATAGCTATGAAGAGAGAAGAAAGGAAACTCGGTAACCCTAAAGAAGAAAGTGAGGTAATATTCCACGACTTATTGACAATTTATTTGAATGATGTAGAAAATCCCACTACTCCAATAAATAGCAGTAATTGTGATAATTTTTTAAAAGACGCGATTTTGAATTTGTTAATTGCTGGAGGAGATACAATTGGTGTTACTTTATCTTGGTTATTTTACCTTCTCACTAAGAACCCCCTTGTTACTAATAAGATTAGAGAGGAATTGAATGTTGTAATGGTAAAAAGAGATGATGAAAATAATAATGACGATTTTTTAAGGAAGTTTACTAAGCACAAAAATGAGCTAGTATATCTTCATGGTGCAATATGTGAAACATTAAGATTATATCCTTCTGTGCCATTCAACCACAAGAATTCAGTTGAATCGGACATACTTCCCAGTGGTCATCGAATGAAGCCGGATATGCAAATCCTCTTCAACATGTATGCCCAGGGAAGGATGAAATCAATTTGGGGAGATGATTGTTACGAGTTTAAGCCCGAGAGATGGATAACGGAACGAGGAAACATTAAGTTCGAGCCTTCGTACAAGTTTTCGGCATTCGGGGCAGGGCCCAGGATTTGTCAAGGAAAGGACATGGCTTTAACCCAAATAAAGATTGTAGCAGCTGCCATAATCCGAAGGTATGATATAGAAGTTGTCCAAGGACATCAAGTTGTTCCTGGTGTCTCCCTTAAACTTCAAATGAAACATGGTTTTAAGGTTAAACTTATTCGATGTTAATAGTAATAAAGCGCAGGTAAATTGCGTGATTATTGACGATGGACTTCATGCTTCTTCATCACACTGTCGCATACAATGAATTTGATGTATTGTTGTTTTGTATTGTGAATTTGCATTGTTTCAATTATTAAAATGAGTACGATTATTTTTTTTTCTCCTTTTTTTTTTTGTAATAAATGTGTTAAAAATATAAAATAAATTTGTAAGTGTAGCTGATAGTTTTTATTCGGTTAAAACTTATTTATAGTGTACATGTTAACATCATTATGAAACGAAGTTGGATTTTATAAGTGTATAAGAATGAACTTTCATACATAACTCCGTCCCAATACTCTACCATATGCAACATGGGTCTATTTGGCAATGGATTTTTTCTATGCATGGCTTTTGGCTTTAGATGTGGTCAAACAGCTAAATTTTATGTTTGGTTATTTGGTATTTTTGTTGGCTAAAAAGCTAGCCATTCCGCCAAAAGCTAATAAGATTAGCTTTTTTGTGTTGGTTGTTGGCTTTTATACTTGCACTTAGATTTTTATCTTAACAACCAACTTAACTAAACATATTTATTTAAGAGCCTACAATCAAACATCAAATACAAATAGTTGGTCAGATTAGACTAGCCACGGAAACAACCAATAGCCAACAACCAACACCAATAACTAACATCCAATTGCCAAACAAGCCATATCTACTATTGGATTTTGCATTTTGTTTCGTAGATCTAATTTGTATTCTTGAGATACTTCCTCTGTTATTTTTTACTTGACCTGTTTCTTTTATTACTCTCGCCAATGCAAAACTTTAACAATCAATATATAACTTTAATTCTCCATAAGTAAAATTATAAAAGTCATATTTTATGATAGTACTTATTTAGACAAATTCAAAAATACCCCACATGAATATGTTTTTCCTTACATATTATTCACAAAAGACGATCAAAAGAAGGGTGGTGAATAGAGTAAAAGTCAAAGTAAGTCAAGTAAAAAAGAACGAATGAAGTAATATGTTTCAGTAGTTTTCTTGTATGATTTGTAAAAACCACTATCAATTGTATGTCTTAGTGTAAAATGCAAACAAGTATGATAGAGTGATGAGAAAGATAATGTTAGAAAGCTTAATTATATTCATGTTTATAGTGTTACAAAAGAGTATTAAATGGTAACATAATCACAAAAATATACACAAAATCATTAAGATACATATTAATGACTATAAACCATAATATCAAAGATATTAACAAAATAATAATATATAGCATTATAATAATCAAAATATCAATGATGGGTTTAGGGTGCCTTGTGGCGGGGCTTCCTCTATGCCGATTTCTTGAAGATGAACTATCAGACGTTTACATATAAATAAAAGAGTAATTATAATTAAAATAACTTTTTTTTTTTCCCAAGGCAATCTAACCCGCGGGTATCCGAAGGTATTTTCTGCACATTTATATTTTTGCTGATTTTAAAATTTAAAATGAGTAAAACTATATCAAATGAGCAAATAAAAAAATCATCCTTGGATGCACCTACATCTAGATATATGTATACCTGGATATATATAAAAAGTTTTTGGTTTATTTCTTCTTCCATAAGAGACCCCTTTTCTAACAAATCGATATGGAAGATGATTGCAACGAGTTCAAACCCGAAAGATGGATAACAGAAGGAGGGAAGATTAAACATGAGCCGTCGTACAAGTTTTCAGTGTTTAGCGCAGGGCCAAGGACTTGCCTGGGAGCATGCAGATGGTTTTCACCCAAAAGAAAATTATAGGTGTCTTCATCATCCAACACTACAATATAGAGACCGTCCAAGGATTTTATCCTGTCCTCGATCTCCCTATAATTCTTCGTATGAAGCATGGATATTAAAGGCTTGATACTATAATAAGATGCTATAAGTGATGCAAAATATATATGTAGGTTCAATATAAAATAATTACGCCTCCATTATTGTTAAATTTGTTACATGTGATATATAGAATATTTCAAGATTCTCTACCATATACAAGTATTGTGTAAAATTATATTTCTTCTCTAATAATATCATGTTTAGTAGTCGTTTGAAATATGACAATTATAATATTTAAATGATAAATAATATGATTAGTTTATATTTTCACATTATAAAATGAACATAATTAGTCTCCTAATATCTACAATACAAATATAATTTTTGAAAAGTTTAATCCAACATAAAATAATTATTTTACGAGAAACTATAGGGTTTGTTTTCATGTGAATTATCACAATCTAGTTTATAGGGTTTGTTTTTGATTAGATTCTATACTATATCAATTGAAATTTGCACCTGTTGTTATTTACGATTTCATGCAACTTCTTCTTTTTTTTTTTTTTTTTTTTTTTTTTTTTTTGTATATTAATGGATTTTCTTATTAAAACAATGTTATGTACTTCGTATTATTGATCTTGGTTTTACTGATTTTCCTAAAAATCATCAATTCTTAAAGAATGACGTGAAGTTGTAAGTTTAACAAAATTAGTTGATTCAATTCCTATATCTAAATATGTGAACTGGATGAATTCAGTCTCTGGCCTACTCTGGGTCTGAATTTTATTCACTTCTGTATTATGTGTTAGTACTTGTTATCATGCATAATTAATCTAATCGGAGACTTGAGAACACAACTCAAATTTATATTCTGTTAATCGCCAAGAACAAGATAGAATGCGCACAGCTAGACCTGTTCCTTCGGCTGTGATTAGTAACCAGATGGTGAAAAAGACATTCCACATCCCTCTTAAGATATTTAAATTTATATATTGTAAAATTTTCTTTTCTAACATATCTCAGTTACAGGAAGATGATGTGGCACCATAAAAAACAAAGATGTTTGTGAAAACTCGAAGCATGAAAGAAGGGAAACCCAATGAACAACCTGATGATGATACACTCAAGAAGACTGTATATATTCTGTTAATCTTGTATTTTCTTAATCATTTTAGTGATTATATAATGATACTCTTTTAACCAAGGGCTCTTTATTTGATATAGCAAGCAATGAGACGATTGGAAGCCTTACAAGCAGATCATGGACGAGGTGTTTCCCGTAAGAAGCTCAAGGAGAAAGGAACGGATACTTCTTTAATTATACCAAAGGAGGTCATGAGTCCATCAAAAGTGTTATAACAGCTGATGTGCAGAATGATATGAGTTCTGAAGAAGATGAATTAGTGAAAGAAAAGCAAGCTCATGTTGCACAAGTTACTGAGATGCAGAACGGATCTGAGGAGCTTGAATGCCAGGCCTCTAAAGTACAAGATATGCAAAAGAATTTTGACACTCATGAGGAAACCATGACTCTTGATGTAGTTGCTTTGGCTCTTGCACATCTACGCCGAAAGGACCCTAGCTTGACACCAGAAATGATTGCTAATATTATTGCATCAACTGCTACAAATGGTGCATAACGTAACTTTGAAAGTGTTTCGTTGCCCAGAATGCTAAAAGGTGGGGAAGAAGCTAGCCGAAGACCTCAATAAAGACCTGCTTAGATGCCTCTTACCCAGACCATTTACAGGTTTGTATTCCCTATCTTTTCTTTCTCTCAAACCTTTTATCATAAACTGCTATATTATTTGTTGTTCTCCTCTATCATCAGTTTGCAGCCCCTTATTAGACTTTTTATTCTTTCACCTTTCTGTTACCCTTTAACTTGAAGATTTTAATAATCTTTGGTTGTTCGTGCTACTTGAGAATGGCTGCTGTTTTAATTTTGAAATGTTCTTTCCAGCAAGGATGGTTTACTGGGTTCGGGTTTGTTAGCTATATAGTAGTGCCTATTTGGCCAAATCTGATTAAGGAGGGGTTTGAGGTGACTCCCGGTTGCAGTCCCTTGTTAGTTTTATGTTCTTGAAGCTGTTATTAGAGTTATTTCTGGCTTCAGTGTGAGCGTCTGTGTATCAAATACTCTGTAAGATTTGAGTTTTAGTCTTGATCTTCTCCCGGGTTGAGAGTAGTGACTTCTAGTTCCTTTTCTACTGTCTTCTCTGCAGATATCAGCTCATGTTGCTGTCTTCGAGATTGGTTCAGAGTTTTGAAGTTGCTTATTATGTGTTTATAAGTCTGTCATAATTCTTATCTTGCCCCGGGCTTCTTGTTATTGTTGAGCAAAGCCCGTGTTTTAGTTTTGATATGCTGGTTGGTTTGCAGTTTGTACCCATGTCTCTTCCTTTGCTAGGCAAGTTGCTGGGTATATATTCAGATAGCTTTTGAGTTTAGTCTCTTGTATGTCTTAGCCTTGCTCTTTTGTCTTTTAACTTTGTATATTTTTTATTTACAGATTGTATAAAAATGCTCAAGTATTACTATATTCGTTTTAAATATTATAAGTACTGTTAGTCTAACAGCTGTGATTGGAGGACTGATGAAAGTAGTGAGGTGTATCCAGAATGTTATACTTTTACCTTCTCAACTTTCTTGCTTTCTGCTATAGAAAAGTGAGAAAAATCTGAAACTGATAAGGTATGATTTACATATAGTTGTTACTTTTATCAATATGGAATGAAGATTTAGGTTGACATTTTATTGATCAGAGAAAGGAATCGTGTATGCATGCATAATTATTTCCTTTTGATGCAAGTGTGTTATATATAACACTGTTGGAATTGTTCCCATCCTTAATTATCATCCTAATCCTCGTGCTATTTGCAAATCAGTATTATATTATCATGTCAAACAGTAAATTAAGGCATAACAAGCACTATGGATGTTATGGAGCACAGGACTTTCAGTGGATTTCCACTGGTAGCTCTAACCTCATTTGCATAATTACATTATATGGAGTATTGTATTAAATAAAAATTTGTAGATATAAATTTAATTGATGAGCTAGTAAATTCTCAAGTAAATTTGATATGTATAAATCAAGAAATTTTCCCAATGTACACTCTAATGAACAAGAGCAAAATGAGGTAATGGTTAATATATTCTCTTTTAAAAAGCACTAACTCTTATTATTGCATTATGTCATTTTTA